TTCCAGGAATTAAACCTGGAATAATTCATCATTACCGATACTGGAAAGAGCCTGGATATCCTGCTCTGCAACAATCCTGATATCATACTAGACGTATACATGGACAATCGGCTCAAAAACGACTTCACCTCAGATCACCCACCTTACGGCTCAAAGTTACATTATGAATCATAAAATAAATCATAAAAGGGTCCCTCTACCCTCCCAAAAGTACGACTTTTCAGGCTTTGCCTTCAAAAAAGCCAACTGGAACGAAATCAACGAATATGTGCGAGAGCACCACTTCAACCCATACTGCTACTGGTAGATCAATGGTATAATTGGATCTACGGTATTATAGTCAAACACATACCCCGAACAACCCAACATAGGAAACATCTAGCGCGCTGGGTTTCTCCCACGAGCTCAAACCTCATGAAAAAAGTAGAAACTCTCAGACGCCAAAGTAAAACAAATACCCTAAAGATCCAGCAATTACAAACTAAATTGTCCTTATCGCTCTCAGCAGACCAATGCAATCATGAAACAGAAATTTTCAAGTCTGGAATCTTCTCAAACGTCCAAAAATACCTCAAAACTATCATGAAAACAAGCTCAATCCCAACTGAAGTATTTCTTGACGATAAGTCAGCTAATACCGATATCGAAAAAGCCGAATTATTTAATCAGTACTTCCAATCCGTTTTCAGTAAGAATCACCACGATTATACTCTCACAGAGGGACAGCCCAAGCTGTCGATGATTCATTTCTCAGAACTAGAAATACAAATCGTTCTCCAATCGCTGGACGAGAGCAAGGCCAAAGGACTTGACCGTATGGGGAACAACCTGCTGAAAAAATTATCAGACTCCCTACCAAAGTCACTGCATCTCATATTCAACAACACAATTGCAAACAAATGCTACTTCCCATCATTCTGGAAAGCAAGCGAAATAATCCCCATATTTAAAGAAGGGAACAAACAAATGGTAGATAAATACAGGCCGATCAGCCTCCTCGTAGCAGTATCCAAAGTCCTCGAGGAACTTATTTTCGACAGAATGTACCCAATCTTATCCACCGCATTGTCCCAATTTCAACACGGTTTTCGGCAAAGACGCTCATCTATAACAAACCTAATCGAATACCTGCACAAAATGTTTGTGAACTTTGACAATAGCAACTGCCACTTCCTAGCGTCATTTTACCTCGACTTCCAGAAGGCTTTCGACAAAGTAAATCACAATATAACGATCGAAAAACTCAGCAGAGGTGGAATAACAGGCCCAATATTGGATCTAATCAAAAGTTACCTGACCGGTCGAACCCAAACAGTACGCATCGGCAGCTCGGTCTCAAGCCAACTGCCAATTTATAGTGGAGTGCCGCAAGGATCTATTCTAGGGCCACTTCTTTTCTTAGTATACATCAACGACTTGCCAAAATGTGTCATGTCATCGGGCTACGGCTATGCGGATGACTATAAAATTATGGGCACCGACCCGACTACCCTGCACATTGATATTAGAAAAGTCTGGAAGTGGTGTGAAACCAATGAAATGCGCCTCAATATGACCAAGAGCAAAACACTAGTAATTAAGGGCGAGTGCAACCTAAGTATATTCTCGTACAAATTCGAAAAGCCTAACGAACTTAAAGATCTTGGAATGATAATGTCAAAAAATCTTAACTGGAGTTCTCATGCCAACAATCGTGCGAGCAAAGCACTGAAGGCCCTATACTGCATCAAAAGAAACTTATCACCTACCACAACAATGAACAACAGGAAAAATGCATATAAAAGCTATGTAGTACCTATCGTTAGCTATGCATCATCAGTCTGGAAACCCTCAAAGCAAGATCTTGCCACCTTAGAAAAAGTGCAACAGAGAGCAACGAAATGGATACTTGGAAATAAACAAATTCCTTTTAAATCGAGGTTAACCACTCTTCAAATTCTTCCCTTGTCTCTTTACCAAGAAATGCATGTACTACTTTTGTTCGCGAACATTCTAAGAGGAAAGACCAACCTGGAATGGTGGCGATTTATAGAAATCACTGAATCAAATCGACCGAAAACAACAAGACGTTTCAACGCGAAGAACTTTCGACTTTATAAATGCGAATCTGATTTCTGGCAACGCGCCTGCAGCCTGACAAACATATTTCACGATCACCTGAAATATGAAGTCCTATTAAGTGACTCGTTTAAACCAAAAATATCAAGAGTGTACTGGCAATTCTACGAGAAAATCTACAATGAAGTCGATATCTGCACCTGGAGAATCAACTGCGGATGCACAAGATGCTTAAACTTCAAAAAACTAAACTCATTAAACTAAAATATGATTGATCTCATAAACTTGATTGGGGAGCTAACTCCCATGGATGTATCCTAAATTCTGTTTTATTATTATTATTATTATTATTAGTAGTAGTAGTAGTATGCTGTTTTGTATTTGCTGTTTGAACGGTAGACAATAAGTTAATTACAATAGTCATCAGCGTAATGTATTAGTGCGAACCTTGTTTCTAACCTAACTCGCAAGTAAAAGTGTTCAATAAAAGTGTTCACTTTTGTGGTGGCATTGTTAATATAAATTGATGTTTTATCGTCATTTAGAGTAGTTTATTGTAAAAATCCTGACGATGCACATAGTTGCGAAAACGTTTGAAGTTTACTTTTTAGCAAAAATTTCTTCATTGTTAATATAATCACGATCTGTAGCTTTGGAAATTTAACAGCATCTGTTCTCTGCTTTATTCGAGGCTAGTTTTTTTAGGCGTCCGTGGCTGAGTTTTCAGTGAGTGAGTTTCATAATATCTAGGTCGCAGGTCGAATCGAAACGTATCAGCTCGGAGACGTAGCCGATTTCCGAGACGCATCAAATCTGAGAGGCAGCCGATTTCAGATCGAATCCGAGACGTAGCAAACTCGAGGCTTATTTTTACTTTTTCTTATAGAACTTTATATAGAGAGTTGCAAGAAGTTCGGACAGACAGAAATAATTAAAAAGAGCAACTGTTTAGACATCAACTGAAACTAAAACTGAAATAAACATAACATCGAAAGTTCATAAAGCAGAGTTACGGGATCTACTTAACAATCCCCACTTTCAAGAAAGGGGAGGAGATTGTTAATTAGATTACTGGCAGCGAACTTTCGACCAATCAGAATGCAGCAAAATTCGAGTTAACATACAATGCTCTAGTGCGAATTTACTGTTTTTATTTACAGGGGTAGATATTATTTAGTAAATACAATAGGGGAAGGGAGGGGGGGGGGGGGGGGTTGAGATTGTTAAGTAGATCCGAGTTTCGCTCAAATTCTATAACCACGGCGGGCAATTGCATCCGAAGCGTCGAGCTGTTTTATAGTAAAATCTGGATGTTCATCGCAGTATTTAAAAATTAGGCTAGCATAATCATCGGATAACCGACAATCTCGCATTTTGAATTTGGTCTGACAAAAAATTCAAGGTTGGTCGGCTTCTGATTTTGCATGCAAAAAAGCGTCGAAAAGTACTGAATGCTCATTTTAATTAATTCTGTCTGTCCGAACTTTTTGCTACTAATTATAGAGCTTCTTCCTATCGTGTTCTCGCTAGTGTTTGCGAATTAAAGCTTGGCTTCTGTGTCATTAATTATAATTAGTAGCAAAAAGTTCGGACAGACAGAACTAATTAAAATGAGCAATCAGTGCTTTTCGATGCTTTTTTACATGCAAAATCTGAAGCCGAACAACCTTGAATTTTTTGTCAGACCGAATTAAAATTGCGAGATTGTCGATTATCGAATGATTATGCTAGCCTAATTTTTAAATACTGCAATGAACATCCAGGTTTTACTATAAAACTTTTCGAAGCTTCGGATGCAATTGCCCGCCGTGGTTATAGGTTTTGAGCGAAACTCGGATCTACTTAACAATCTCCCTCCCCCTATTGTATCTACTAAAGAATCTCCACCCCTGTAAATAAAAACAGTAAATTCGCACAAGAGCATTGTATGTAAATTTGGATTTTGCTGCATTCTGATTGGTCGACAGTTCGCTGCAAGTACCCCGCAGTAACGATCTCCTCCCCTTTCTTGAAAGGGGGATTGTTAAGTAGATCTCGTAACTCTGCTTTATGAACTTTCCACGTTATGTTTATTTCAGTTTTAGTTTCCGTTGATGTCTAGACAGTTGCTCTTTTTAATTAATTCTGTCTGTCCGAACTTTTTGCAACTCTCTATAGTAGCATTAGTTAATTGGCATTAAAAAAGTGAATCATTCGTCAATCAAAATCAAGAGTCATTCATAAGTAGCATCAATTGGAATCGAATATATTTGGCAAATTAAAGCTCGCATCGTAACTCTCAAGAGCTACCACTATTCTTGTCAAATTTCTTAAATTAAAAGGCAGTCAAATTTGACACCTGCTCAAGAATTGGTTCATTATGAACGAGTAATGAGCGAAATTATCACCCATAAAATTTTCTGAGAATTTTTTTTTATTCAACAGCAGACGTGCATCTCGACCAACCACGACCCTTTCCAATGGGCCCATCGTCAGTGTAGCTATATATAAAATTACAACAGAAACTGTTTTACAATCAGGCGAAAGCAAAAATCTTCAACTAACTGATCACTCTTGTTATTCCCATGAAAAGATTGCAATGTTTTGGAAGACTCTTTATTTATAAATGATCATCGATTCAGTTATTTTTTGTGAACAATAATTACTAGCTTACATATAGGGACGTGAATAAGAAAAAAGAAAAGTTTATTATTGGAGGGTTACCTTATAAAATACCTAATGCCGCTTTTAATGTCTACTAACGGTGGCCGCCCTTCTATTTTAATCATTTCTTTCATTTAATCGTGAAAACTGGTTTCTCAGGGCCTACTTATTGTTGGTTCTGTGCATGGTTTTTTTCAAGAACGCAAGTTAAAGAATTGACTGCAAAAGTTTTCAAATGACTTAAACTATTTGCTTTGCCGTAGAGATTGTTTATACATGGCATATGTTCTGTAAACTTAAGCTTTTATTTTCACGGTTGCATGATCTGTAACTTAGTTGCTCTTCACAAGAATTTAAATGCTTTAGTTTCAACTAACATTCATTCGCTCATTCTAGACAGTGCCTATGTCTGATAACGAATCTTCGGCATCGGTAAGCTACTTAATTTGCCAATCTTTTTTCGTGTTAACTTCTAGTCAATGATTGATGGAGGAATAGTATAATCTGAAGTATAATCTCAGCAGCTGTTAAATAGATTTAAGTTTGTCTACAAGTATTCAAGTATATGTTGATTTTTCTGAAATGTAAAATTTAAATGTTTTGCTGGTGGAAAAATCATGATCTTTCTCAGAACTTGCTGTTTTAGTTTTAACTGTGTTTGATTTTTTCAGTTGACTATGGCGAACAACGTTACTACAATTGGACTATGCGTCGCAGGCGCTGTCGTCCTTGCATCGACTGCATTCGTCATCAAGATATTCTTGTTTCCCAAAAAGACCAAGAAAGCTCCGGTGCTGCTCAAGGAAAAGACAGTTAAGCACGCTGTAGTCCTTGTAGACAAGGAAGAGCTGAGCTCGGATACGAGAAGGTTTAGATTTAAGTTACCTTCGGGACATTCTCTGGGTCTTCCCATTGGCTATCACTGCTACTTATCAGCCAGGATCGGTGGCGACTTGGTTGTCCGACCTTACACTCCTGTTTCGAGTGAGCGAGATCTTGGGTTTTTCGACCTCGTGATCAAAGTGTACAAGGCAGGTGTCAACCCTAGATTTCCAGAGGGAGGAAAATTGTCCCAATACCTCGACAATTTGGTGATAGGAGATGCAATTGATGTGCGAGGTCCAGGCGGTCTGTTGGAGTACGAAGGCAGATGCCATTATGCTATCAAACCCGATAAACAGAGCCCGCCGCAAAGATTCTTCTATCGACGAATTGGAATGATTGCTGGAGGAACCGGGATCACTCCTATGCTACAGCTGGTGAGAGAAATGTTCTATGACAAGCAAGACAACACACATATCTCTATGATCTTCGCGAATCAGTCACCCAATGACATTCTCCTACGAGGCGAAATTGATGACATGGCCCTGGAGCAGCCGAATCGATTCAAGAGGTGGTATACAGTTGACAGAGATGCGCCCGAAGACTGGGAATTCGACACTGGATTCGTATCGGAACAGATGATGAAAGACCACCTGCCTCCACCTGGAGATGATGTGCTGATTGTGATGTGTGGACCTCCACCCATGATCACAGCGTGCACTAAAAACCTGGAAAATATCGGCTACAAGAATATATTCCCTTACTAAAGTGAAGCACGATACGCTGTTTTACCAGCAATTTGATGCCTTGGATTAAAGCAAAGGTATTTGCACAAACTCGTTTATGGTGCAACTAAAAGATTAAAAATATATTACTTATCATGATTCAAAAGAAATTTACGCAACGCTCAAACATCAGCCATGAAAGTGAACAAATACAACACTTTTCTAAACTGAGTTGCAACCTGTTATCGTGGCCATGGGTATTTCTGCAGTCCTCTTTGGCTTGGATAGCACTGTTTGATTTATAGCGACTTCCTGTTCAATTGTTTGAAATAGTATGAAGTTGGTTTTTGCCTTGGATTTAATTGAGCTGTTTGGTCTAAAAATATAATATTGTAAATACCTCAAAATCTGTTTTTCTGAAGATTCATTTGTTAATTGTTTGATACTTGAAAAAATTAGTGATTGTTATCGGTGCAATGGCCTCTATCGGCGGGAATGGCACTTGAATTAACAGATTGAAAAAACCCCTTTATCTTAAAAGCAGAGGTAGATGTCTGGCATTGCCTCAACGTCGCTCATTAGTTGATTTTTGACTATTAAGGTTTGTTTGTAAAGTTAATACAATTTTTTCTCCGTTTTATTGTTAGTCAGTCTTTACACATGCGAAGCGAAGTGTATTATTACGAACATACTTTTTTTTCAACCCAAGTCGCAAATAAAAGTGCTCATTAGTGGCACTTTTGATATATTTCAATTTCATCATATTTAAGCGTATTTAGGCATAGGTAACTTAATAGCATATAGTGCTGGTTTATTTTTGGCTAGTGTTAGGTCCTGTTTGAAAACAACAGAAGTTATGAAAATGTATGGGATTTGTTACTTTTCATTTTTTCTCGAAAACGACTGAACCAATTTTCAAAATAATGGTGTCATTGGAAAAACTGGCTGTTATTCTATGTGCCTGCATAATTTGCTAGTCTCTTTTCAGTTTACACCACGTTCTGCGGCTTTCGAAAGTTTCATTAGGAGTATTGACTTATTTGATTTTGAATTTGTTCATTTTCTCAAATAATAAATGCATAAATCTGAGATGAATGTTATATCCAAAGAACTAATCAATGGGATCTCTCCTTTTCAAGAAGAAAATTTATGGTCTCAAACAAGCCCATTTTTTGACATTTTGGTTAATTTTTTAATTTTTTTTGTCTTTTCTCAAAAACTACCCTGCCAAATCGGAGAATAAGAGTTGAACCGGAAGAAAAAACGAAGTATGCGAGTCCGGCTATGCCCTGCGTTTTGAAAAAATATGGCCTTAGAAATAATACAATTTTTGAAACTTTTCCCGTTTTTTGGAAAGATCTTTTTTTCCTCAAAGACTAACCTGCTGATTCTGAGGTTGATAATTCATCCAAACTAACATCGTGCTTGAGTTTTTCCTGTGTAATCTGTTTCGCCTTATTTGTTTTGTAGAAAAAGCCGATATGGACATCGGAAAAATCCATTTGAAGTTTTTACCGTTTTTTTAAAAGAAATTTCATCACTGTTCTCGAAAGCTACTAGCTAAAGCCGATATTCAGGATTCAATCTAAAATCAGGTTGTGGAATAGGAGACCGTTCCCATGCTTTAGTAGAGAAAATTTTGTGATTTTAGGAAAAGCCAGCTTTTTCGATTTTGATCGGTTTTTTCATTTTTTTCGAAAACTACACGGCCAAATCTGAGATAAGCATAAGCTGGGCAACTAGTTTTCCGAGCGTCCGTGGCGCGATTACGAGGAAGTGGAAGTCCTAATCAATCCTATTTTTTTTAGGAAAAAAAACTTTTCAGTTAAATTTTGTTCACGCTCAATTTTTTTTTTTTTTTTGCCGTTTGACGTTTGGTTTCTTTACGCTTGCGATTAACAAGCGTTACCAAATCAGAATGATGACGCTTTTTTGTGTTAAAACAGACCGTTATCTTGGGTCATAATGGTTTCAAACTTCAAGAGTTTCCGGCACTCTTTGTCCGGAGGTAACGAATGCGCCTGGAGCGGCAAAGGTCTTGGGTTCAAAACTGACCAGGACCTGTTTTTTTTTCAAACCGGAAACATTCTGTTTTAAATAAAATTGCCGGCTTAGTTGACACATCTCTGAATTGTTTTACAGTCGAAATATAGACTTTTTTGGGTTAAAAACTTGTTTATCAGAATCACTTAGTATCTTGGTTCATAATGCATTCAATTCGAATCTGACCAGAACCTGTCTTTTTTTCAAACGGTAAATTCTCCGTTTCAAAAAATTGTCGGGTAATATTTGTCTGCTTATGTTTTGTCGGCTTAAATACCACATTTTAGATTTTTTTGTTTTATGCAGTTTTAATTGCGAGTGCTTACTGTGTTCTAATTTACTCCGCCAATTTGTAGTATTACTAGCTTGGACTTCGTATAGTTCCTTTTTTGATTTTTCGCCTAAAAAAATTTCGGTTAATATTTTATCGGCTTATTCAACTAATTTTGGGTCGTTCGAGAGAACTTTCATTTATATGCTTTCCTTTGGATTGTATAAAACGTTAACAATCTCAGAATAGAATTTGTAGTTCAAAGTTTTTCATCGCCACTTGTTTTATTTTCGCTCACAAATTTTCATTTAACGCCGTTGAATTGGTTTCTGGAACTGTTTTCCGCAAAAAGAACATCCTTCCAGACAACATTTTGAAGTTTTATAGGATAAACTCCACTATCGAACAGCAAAAAGGTCACGAAAAACGTGATCGATTGCTAATTTCGAAAATGGAATTTAATTATCAGATTTCCCATCGAAATTATTTTTTTTCCCATTGATCCAGTTTTCTCAAGTTGGGTCAATTTTATCAAAAAAGCACCAATCTTGAATTTTTCGTAAAATTCAAAGAGCAAAAACAGGTAACACAAATAATCAGCGGAATGGGTCCAGTGATACATCATATAAAAGCCGTTTCAGTCGGAATGACATTCCGGATTAAGTTCAATATAGATGTCCTGGCCACTGGCGTTTTGCTTGCTGTTTTTAGTACGTTTCGATAAATGAACACGCATCTTGACGAACTATAAACTGTAGAAACTGAGATAACAAAAATGCTTTTTATGTGCAATTCAAGAAACTGAGAATACATGAATGCAACAAAGCTCTTCGAGTAACAAAAAGATGGCTATCAGACCTAGATCAGCTTTTGAGTTGTATACCACTCGAGGTGGGTGGGAAACTATTAAAATGATGAAAGCGTCAAAAGCCTTAGGACCAGACGGCCTCTACACAGTTAATCTAAAAGCTATTGTTCTGTTAGCTATTTACTTTTTTTTTACAAAAGTTTTCAATCGCTCTCTATCGTTCCGCATCTTTCCTCAAATATAAAAGAATTCAAAGGTGGTACTACTTCCAAAACCTAATAAAGAACTTAAATAGACAATCTTACCGACAATTCAAAGTCCAGCGGTTGGAGTTTTGGAGTCTAATTTATCCAAAATTTACCAAAACATATCGAAAGCCGATCATCAACATGGCTCTCGACGATGCAATCACCCAATATGGCTTTATCTTGATAGTTTCCGAAACAAAGGACAGTTGTTTTTGTTTTGGCCACGCTTGAGTAATCTAAAGCTTTCGGCATTGTGCCATCTATTTATCTTGGATCGATTTCATGGCACCAGTGTACCGGTAAGCTTAACCGGATGGTTATCAAATTCTCCGAGTAGTCGCCAAACCTTTCTTAGGGATGCTCCGTCAACGTCTAGGATTGTACGCACAGGTGTCTCATAAGACTCACTCCTATCAACTACTTGGTCCTTTTTACTTCCATGTTGATAGCATACTTAGATAACGTCAGCAAAAGCCTCACTCATGTTAGTGATCCTGAAGGAATTATCTGGGACAAATGTTGGTCAATTAAAAGAGACGTTACTGGCCACCTAAAAGGTTTTTTCCAGATGAATTAGATTGCGCATGCTCAGCATGATACGATGCCGCCAGTTTTGCGTCTTTGAGAAAACTTCAAGTATTTCAAAGCGTCGCTCTCTACTCTCTAACGGACAGCCAAAAAATGCTGAAAAATTCCTAAGAACTTTTGATTATCTTACATGAAATTTTGTTTCAAATATTGTTTTTTTTTTACATTTGCGAGAGCAATTGTCTTGTAATCGGAAGCTAGACTTTTTTTTTACCGTAGACCACTTTTCTTGAAGGTAAGACAGTAAATAATAACAGTTTGAGTCCCGGCCGGTGCCTGTTTCTTTCAGTATGTATGAAATTGAAAAAATTCGTTTCGTAAAAATTTGAATAGGCGGATTTTTGTTTGTCTGCTAGTGTATTGTCGGCTTAAATACCAAACCGGGAAAATTTTGTTGGGCAGTCAGCATTTTTCATGGTCGATACAAATGTTTTTGATTTAATGCTGTTATGTGTTGTATATTTTCATTGGTTTTCCTTTTTGTTTTTCGCTTGAATGTTTTAGTGAACCTAAATTGTTTCGGCTCATGTTTTATCGGTGAAGTTACTTTACTTTGCGTCGTTTACAAGGCAGGAAATTTTCGGTTTTATTTGACAACAATTTTTATGACTGTTTCTATTTTCGGCTCAATGGGCATCTACCCGCTTTTTTCGACATATTGACCGCGTAGTAAATCTTAGAAGTTGATTTAGTACTGTGGTTGTTTTTCCGATTTTTCATTTCCGTTTTATTTTCTACTCGCTAGCTTGCAATGCAGCGCTTGCGTTGTATCGCGGAGCTTCGCCTCTGTATTTCTGAATATGGACGGAACATTCTGTGCTACTTCCATAGCAACCGGCTGTCCTTATTCTTTTTCGTTTCCATACCTCATTGTTTCGGACAATTCTATGCTAACAAACAATTGTTGTATTGTTATCTGAATGAAATTTTACCTCTCAATTCCCTATAATTCGGAGATTGCGTGTTTTAAAAATGTGGATTTTCTTTTTCTTTTGCAGAAATCATGCTTATCTTCCCTGATAGTATAAACTCTTTTCTCGGATGATTTGAAATTTTTGACCTTTTTAAAAGATCCAAAAGTTCAAGATGTACTAGTTATGTTCGAAGTTTCTAGGTTTACTGTTAATCCTGATAATACGAACACCGCTTGATTTCTGTTTTAATGAATTAGTTTTGTTTACCCTTGCGATAAGCAAGGGTATTGCAATCGGGTACTAGACTTTTTCCCCACTTCGTTCACAGGACTCACTTCCTTAAAGGATTAATGAGTTTTATCTGCATTCATTTCGTTCTAGCCTCTAAGCAACCATTTTATCGCTACAGATATATCTTGTGCTTGCTGGGATATAAAATATCTGTCATGTTCGAAATTTTTTGTCGTTTTCTTTTTTTTTTGACTTGATAAGTTTCGGCCTATATCATATTGGCTTAGTGGCTTCATATTGCGTCGTTCGACGAGCAAAAAAAGTTTTTTATCTGTTTTTCTGTTATGAGGGTGAGGGGGACTTAATATCTGTTGATTAGTCTTAAACCTATTTTTTATCGGCTCATTGGCCTCAAATGGTTTTCTTTGACGGGCGA